TTGGCAGTCCTCGAGGTGATTTCTCGGATTCTTCCCTTTCTGCGGATGGTACTTTTTTATCTCCCGCCCTCGATGCACCATCTTCGCAGGACACGCAATCTTCAGAAAACGTTGGACGGTCAAAGACAATGCCTGCAGGGTTACCATTGCCCAACGTGAATGCACTAAAGGGACCAGAATCCAAGGCAGGATCACTGCCCCCGAATACACAAGAGAAATCAAAATTCTCAGATGCAAGTGGGGGTGCAGCTGGAAACAAGGCAAAGCAAAGTGACGTGGAGACGGACGATCCTTCCAGTTCGTTTGCTAACACCGGCGACCAAACAGTAGAAAAAACGCTATTATTGCCACAAACACCGGCAGTACTACTGCCAGTTCCATCAGCAGAACTATCCCCAGAAGTGCCACCAGTAACTCCTGTGCAGGCAAATCCGGACGGAGAAGGAAGCCTACCAACAGCACCAAGAGCCTCAGAGGCCTCACAAAGAGAACTGCAGAACAAGGCATCGTCACCCAACAAAACGGGGTCCGAATCACCGGACCGTCCTTCAAGGGATAGTATGCAGAAGCAAAAAGATAAAGTCACAACGCAATTGAATACGACGAAAAAAGCATCTGCCGGTGGTTTAGCGGAAAAAACAGCAACATTCATCTCTGCAAATGGAAATGGCGATGTCCAGAATAAGGAGGATGAGGATGATGCTCGGCAGCCCAAACCCAACAGAGTGCAGGACGACGCCGAAGCTGGCAACACCAACGTCGCTCCTACAGTCAGTGAGGCAGCACCTCAAACAGTAGAAACAGTCACCACTCAAAAAAATGATACGAAGACAAAGATTGCCGACAGTGACGGCAGCACCGCGGTGTCGCACACCACCTCCCCTCTTTTGCTTCTTCTTGTTGCGTGTGCGGCTGCTGCTGCGGTGGTGGCCGCGTGAGAGTGAGGGAGAGAGAGCCGTGCACCGCCCGCACACACACTCGTCCTTCTCTCACTCTCTGTGTGTGTCCCCTTGCATGGACTCTTGCCCTCACCTCACCCCACGAGGCACACACAATAATGTGCCCATTGTATATATGCATGCACACCCATGCAGGCCCGTTGGTGCTCTCTTTTGCACGACACGCACCGCTGCCGTCCTGCCTGGCTGCATGGGCGGAGCACCGTAACTGTTTCTGTTTTGTTTCCATTGCATTGAGTGGGCGACCTCTCTCTCTCCCTCTCGCTCTGTGTGTGTGTTTTGCTTTACGGGAGCAATGAGAGTGTGTGTGCGCTGGTCGTCCCACGCTTTTTTTTGTTTTGTTTTCATTGTGTTGTTGAGTGCACCCATTCCGCCGGCTGCGTGCGTGTGTGTGCGATGGTAAGAGTAATCTGCGTGTGTGCTATCCGCTTCTCCCTATCTTTGCTTTGTTGGGACTCTCTTGTGCCGCACAGCTGCTCTGCAAGTATACACGCTGACAAACGCACTAGCAGATGCACACGCCATGTTGCGCACGCTGTGGGGCGGCGTGAACGCTGAGGACGCACGCACGTACACGATTCTTGCTGCGGCTGCCCTTGCGAGGAGGGATGACGGATGACCGCGATTTGTTATGTTGCCGTGCTGCGAGCGTGATTTCCTGGGCTTGCTGCCCATGGGCGGCGTGGCGTTTTGGTGTCTGGGATTATTGCGGATAGGCTTCAGCCCAGCAGCTGCACGGATTGACGTGTTCCTCCCGCTGTTCGTGCGCCGACGGAGGATTCACCGGCTGTGCGGGGCGATGTGCGGGTGCGTTGGAAGAGACAAGAGTAAAACGACTGGCGGCAGCGCGTGTGTGCCGTGAAGGGCGGCTGTGTTTTTTTATCCTGCTGGTTTTTCTTTTTGTGAGGGCGTTGTTCAGTGTGTGCTGACGCGTGACGAATAACGACGTGCCGGGCGTGGCTCCTGCTGCTGCTGGTGGTGATGACCGTCGCTGTGTGTTCCCGCTGCATTGTTCATCCTTCCCGTTTCATGTGTCTGCGTGCGTGAGTTGTTGTTGAGGGTGACTGCGGCAGGGACGACGATGGTGATGATGCCACTCACTGTGGACGCTGGCGGTGTTCACTGCTTCACTTCTTTTTCTTAACTTCTCTCTTACCCACACACAAAGGAAAGAAGTTAACAACAAGCGCTAATCGCCACTGTGAAATTGTAAGGCACTGAAAGGACCAACAGCACACACACCGCCCACACACACATATATTTGTATGCTCTCACGTGTTGCTGCAGTGAGGGCACCCCGCACACACAACCGTCGCCGCGTGACCGTATCCAGCGGGAGGAGGAGGGAAGGAGGAGAGAGTGAGCCGCGGAGGCCCAACATGTCCCGGCATCTCTTCTACTCTGGAGTGCTCCTCCTCGTCGTGCTGGTGTGCTGCGGCAGTGGTGCTGCGGGAGTTGCGGGGCAGTCGTCTGTTCCAAAGTTTAAATGGAGGGGCATCAATGAGAGTGGAGGTGAAACTGTGGAGTCGTTGGGTGCTCCCAGCCTTCTAAAAGTGGGGAGTGACGTGTTTGCCGTTGCCGAGGCGCAGTGCAAAAAGAAGAAGGATGGTGATGTGAGTTTTACTGGCGTTGCATCCCAACTTCTCACGACAGAAACTGCTGAGACACAGGAGGAAGTTCTGGAAAAACCCAAAGTTTGGACACAAGTACTGGAGGAAGGTGCTTCCGGAGGTCAAAAGAAGAAAGTAGATGTGAGCCGACCAACAACAGTTTTGAAGGGGGATGATATTTACATGCTTGTTGGAGTCTACAATAGAGTTGCCGCTCCTCGACAGGATGCCAAGCCTGACGCGGCTCAATTGGGACTTTTGCTGGTGAAAGGGAGCGTCAATAGTGGTGGGGATACAAATAGCAAGAAAATTGACTGGAAAGATCTTGAAAATCCCCCGCAAGGACTTTGTGGCGCACAGCTCGATTCCTGGACAAGGCTGATTGGAAGCGGTGGATCGGGTGTTAAGATGAAGGATGAGACTCTTGTGTTCCCTGTGGAAGGCACGAAGAAGGCGGCGGACGACGCTGAAGAGGGTGTGAAGACTGTCTCACTGATCATACAGTCGAAGGATACTGCGAATTGGACGCTGTCGAAGGGGATGTCTGACGGTGGCTGCAGCGATCCCTCCGTCGTGGAGTGGGAGGAGGGAAAACTCATGATGATGACTGCGTGTGCTGGTGGCCCTCGCAGGGTGTACGAGTCCGGTGACAAGGGGGAGTCGTGGACGGAGGCACTCGGGACACTCTCGCGTGTGTGGGGCAACAACAAAAAGGGCGTAAGTGGCGTTAGAAGCGGGTTCATCACAGCGACTGTTGGAAATAATGGTGTTGATAATAAAAAAGTGATGCTCGTCACTCTGCCGGTGTATGCCGAGAACGACAACAAAAAGGGCAAACTTCATCTTTGGCTGACGGACAATACGCACATTGTTGATATTGGGCCGGTATCCGGTGATGGTGATGACGAGATTACCGCCAGCTCCCTGTTGTACAACAGTGGCGGGAACACTGATGAGAAGAAGGAGGAGTTGATTGCACTGTACGAGAAGAAGAAGGGCAACGATGTGAAGCCATCACCCGGTATGGTCTCTGTGCTTCTGACAGAGCAGCTGCAGCGTGTGAAGGAGGTGCTGACGACCTGGAAGGAGGTGGACGGCCGTGTCTCCCAGCTGTGCACCTCATTAAGTGCTCAGAAGGAGCGTACCTCAACTGACGATGCTTGCAGCGCTGATAAGATCACGGCTGGGCTGGTTGGCTTTTTGTCCGGCAACCTCTCCGGTGACACATGGAGGGATGAGTACCTCGGGGTGAACGCCACAGTAAATAATAAAGCTGGGGAAGCAGCGTCAGCAGTGACCATCACGGATAAGGGTGTGACATTTCAGGGAGCGTGGGCGGAGTGGCCTGTTGGCAAGCAGGGGCAGAATCAGCTGTACCACTTTGCGAACTACAACTTCACTCTTGTGGCGACGGTGTCCATCGACAATGTGCCGGAGGAGGGAAACACCCCCATTCCGTTGGTGGGTGTGAAGATGAATGGCGATGGAAATAATGTGCTGCTGGGACTGTTGTACGACAGCGGAAAGAAGTGGCAAGTACTGTGCGGTGAAAAAACGACGACGGAGCTCAGCAGCGGTTGGGAGACGGGGACACCTCAGCAGCACGTGGTGGTTTTGTTGAAGAACGGCACCCAGGGCTCCGTTTACGTCGATGGTCAGCGTGTGGGGAATGAAGAATGTGCATTGGGCAATGGTGAGTCGAAAGAGATCTCCCACTTCTACATTGGAGGGGATGGAGAAAACGCAGCCAACAACAAAGACGTGTCTGTGACTGTGACGAACGTCCTGCTGTACAACCGCCCGTGGGATGAAGCGGAGATTACTGCGCTTAACCCGAATAAAGACCCCACTCCTCCGGTGACCCCGAATGCTCAGGAAGCCGGAACTTCGTCTGCTCTTGACGGAAGCCATCTGACGGAACGGGGACAGTCGATGGGGAGCAGTGGTGTGAACGGTGTATCCGCACCAACAGTGCCCAGTGCCAAGACTTCCTCAGGAGAAGAGGGGTCCGCAACCCAGTTGGTGTCAGAAGAATCTTCCGATGGAAGTAAAAATGTGGGTGGCGGTTCCTCGCCTGGCAGTGACGCACCGGTGGAGACAGGAGACCGAAGTACGGTGCAGGGAGATGGATCATCACAAACTCCTGTGGGTACTCCCGCCATAGCAGATGCATATGACCCTAACGCTGAAGCCATGGGGCACGATGGAACCGCAGTGAATCCTGGGGCGAGCGCGAGCTCAGGTGCGGATGGGGAGACGGCGGAAGGAACGGACGGGCAGGAGAAGGAGGAGATCCACGCACAGAACGGGGACGTAAATGCCACGGCACTCAGCAGCAGCCTCGGAAATGTGTCGCAGGGGAATAACACCGATGCCGGCACCATGCATGAGAGCGGACTGCTGCCATCGCTGCTTCTGCTGTTGGGACTGTGGGGGTTTGCGGCTCTGTGAGGCGTGACTGGCTGCCGCGTGGAGCACTTGCGGCATTTCCTGCACGGAATTAATTCCAAGAACTAACTTTTTCCTTAAGATAATTTTCTTTTCTTGCTTTCTGTTTTTAATTCATAATTTTTTTTGCGTGTTGCGCGTGTGTGCGAGTGTGTGTGTCCTTAAAATCTTTTTTTTTCTGTTATTAACTTTCGTCTGTTTTTTTATTTTTCATCCCCCATATCTTTTTTTTTTTTGTTTTTGGGGCAATCACTATGGACGTTTTTTCTTTTCTACTCTTTTAATTGTTTCTTCTGCACTCTTCGTGTGAGGGGTGCCGTGTGTTCCCGCCCAACTGCTCCACTCGCACACCCACCGACACGCTCGTGACGACGGCCCTGTGCGCCTCGCCTGCTGCACGCATGAGGAGGGGCCGCGACGAGGGCCTGTGGGGCGGAGCACACATTTCTTCCCTCTTGTTTTGTTTTCTTTGCGGCCAGGGCGGGCAGACACCCGCAGCGCCACACACACACAGCCACACCCTGCCGCCGTGTTTTTCTTTTCTTTTTTTGTTTTGCTTTGTGGATTTGTGTGCTGCCACTATGCGTGATTGTTGAGGTCGGGGCCGTGCCGCATGTATCGCCTCCATCCAGCTGTGCCTCTTGCTGTGTTGATGTGCCTCTCTGTGCCCTTCTCTTCCCTTCTGCTCCTCCAGCACACGGACAAATAGGTATTTGCACAGTGCTCTGCCTTCTGTTTTTGCTTTGCCGGTTGATGGCGTTGCCTGCTCTTTGTGTGCTGGCGCGTGACGGACGGTGCCACGATGGCCTCCTCTGGCAATGACGGTCGCTGTGCTCTCGGCACACATCCGCACACTCCTCCCTCTCTGTGAGAGTGATTGCGGCAGGAGCGTGGTCTAGGGCAGCGGCAGCTGGTGTCTTGGAGAGGGACGAGGCGCCGAAGGAGGAATAAGAGGCCGTACCCGCTGGACGATATCACGATGGCGGATGAAAGCTTTTTCTACGGTCTTTTATCGGCTTTCTTCAGAAGTGCGGCGTGTCGCTGCCTGACGGGATGCCTGCACTCGGCACCCTTCGAGGCATTGCGTTCCTTCATTCAGGGTGATGTCGCAATCATCATGGCAGCACCTTCCCTCACCGGCTTTGAGTGTGGCAATACGAATGACGGCAAAACAACGATGAGGACGATGACGATTTGCACCGAGAGGCGGATTATTTGCGTGTCTTGGCACACGAATCCCAGGAGGTTTGAATGCCGTCCCCACAATTCCCGGCCTTGCGGAACCGTTGGCTTTTGCGCTGTCACCCGCCGTAATTATTGCCCATGCGTTGAGGCTAATCCATTTGCCGTGGAGTTCACGCAGCAGCTCTCGAGTGTTTGTGCTGCTCATCCCGCGTTGGCCCATTCGCATGTATCTGAGCGTTGCCTGGCGTGTGATTTTTGTGTGTTGTCGAGGCCGCCGCCTCCAGTTTCTTTTGGTGCCCAATAAGAAGCACTTTGCGTTGCGGTGGATATTTACTTGCGTGGCCGTTGACGCACGTGACGATGCTTAACGGGTGTGTCTTTTGTTTGGCGGGCACGAGGGAGACTTCGGTGTGTGCCGACAGCACCGCGAAATTCTTCGTCGACGGATCGAGGCGAAACTAACGGAGGCCTGTCCGCTGCATCTCTCAAGGCAGCTGCGGGGCACTCCGAGCGCACAGAGTGGATGGATGGATGCCGCGCAGCTGGGGAGACCAGTTTTCTTCTCCGCCCTCCGTTGCCCGGGGAAAATCGGTAATCCGCAGCGCCACTGCCAGCTGCATTTTACTGCTGGGGATCGACTGTGCTGAAGTTGCCCGTCTAATGTGAATCGCAGCGTCAGTGCAGGAAGACGCTTTCACGCACTGCGAGTAGCTGCTCCAGGCTCGAGCTCATCAATATTCCCGGCAGGGAGCCATGCACTTTGGTGGCCGGTGACGTTCAGGCGAGTGTGTTTCGCCTCATCCGCCTCGTATTTGTGGGGGACACTGCGCATCGACCCTTCCCAACAGTTCCACCACCCTCACTTTCCCCCGTCACCCGCTGCCCTCTGCTGACGGCATAGTTGTTTGGCTCCGTCGATGATGCGCTTGTGAAACGTCCTCCCCGCACGCTGCAGGATAATTGTTTTTGTTTTTGGCGATGCGATAAGTCCGGCGACACCGCAACTGTGTGCAGCACAAACTAATCTCCGCAGTGGACCCTATTTTTCTGCAGTGTCGCCGTCGCGATCCTGCCATTGTGTACTTGGTGCAGCTTTTTGTGGTTGGGCCAGTGCAGCCGTTGGATGCTCGGCTCGCTTTTGTTTTGGTCGCTTTGGGTCTCAGGGAGAAGAAGTTTAATTTGTTTCACGTGCGGGATAATGGAGACACTGCCATGAGCAACTCTGCGGAATATTATAGACTTGTGGAGGAGAGAGGCGACGGGGGAGGAACTGGTGGCAGCAGTCGCGCGTGTCTCTTCTCCCAGGGGATGGAGACGCGTGGAGCAGAAACAACATTACTCCTGCCAACGACAATTCGACGCTTTGTGAGGGTGATGGAGGGTGCGACAGACATGCCTGTTGCCTGCACTCTTCGTGTGACCGACGGATCGCGGCTGGTGGATGACCGCCTTTCAACAAAAGTGCCGGGAGAACGGTGTACGCCAGGTGGATTCGAGACGACAGGCCTTAGGCCGATTGACGACGTTGTGAGGGATGCGGTGCTGCAGTGGCGTTTTTTGCTTTCTCGAAGCGTTTTTATTTCTTTTCCCTCTTGCCAGTTTGTTTTTGCCGAAGAGGAGTTGGTGGCATGCGGTG